GGCAGATCACAGGGGAGAAGAGGGAAGAGAAAAGTAATGCGTGAAAAAGATCAAGAACGATGGATCGAATGTTGCGATCTCGTCTTTTTGAGATCACGGAACCTAGGGCACGAACTGGGATGACGAAGGAAGAAGGGGTTAGTAAAGTAAAAAGGAGCTTGAAATTCTGGCCCGCGACACTGAGGACGCGGGCCGCGATCATATATTAACTTAAAACGATGTTTTACGGGACACAACCAAGTCGTGAAAAACAAATGCATTATGTGCGTTTTTAAATGCATAATCTGCAAATAAGCCCCCCCAAACACATTTTTAATCTGTGGCACCTGAATCAGTAATCCACAGGCTAGAAGAAGAAAAACAAGCGAGTGTCATAAAGATGTTACCTTCACAGACAGGAGAGGTCGATAGGCATGAGGAGAACTGACTAGATCTAAGCAGCTTAATCAAATGTTCCATCTGATTCTTAATAGTTTTTGCTAAGTCGGGAATGGTGCGAGTAGGGGTCAGCTGAATAGTAGTAGATTCTGAGGTCATGGTGAGGCCTTTTGCAGCAGAAGATTTGGTTGAAGACTTATTTACTGGTTTCCCACGGGGTTTTCAACACTTGTCGCAGGTATGGTAGCATTTGTGGCAAAAGTCACATGTGGAGTGATTGGCTTGCCACGACATGGTAGATTGTGGAGTGTTGCTGGAGACCAAGGTTGACGGCTTGGCTGAAGTAGTTGAGTTGCTGACCATGACAAGTCTCTGGCTTTCTTCGCGACTGATCTTAGTGAAAGCAGCCCGTGTTGAAGGAAGATGGTCACGTTCCAGTATATGATCACAAATTTCATCAATTTCTTTATTCAGGGCCAACAAAAATTTGGAACACACGATTATTTTTTCAAGATTTTTTGCAGAAGGAAAAGATTTGCAGGATAGTATCAAGAGTCATAGTAGATGTCACGTTTCATCCATAAAACAACCAAATCGTTATCGTACTAGGTGAACGTCTTTGATCCCTCTTTAGCCTCATGAATCTTATTAGAAATTTCATAGAGTTGTCTAGAATTACTTAAATTCGAATAAGTATTGTGAAAGGCAATCCAGAGGGCACTTGTAGATGGAAGAAACTCCTAAGAACGACCAATAGAGGTCTCCATAGAATTAATGAATCATTACATAACCATAGAGTTTTTCACTTCCCATGCAACATATGCTGGGTAGTCTTTGGAAGTTTAGTAGTCATGCTCGTGAGGTGGCTAAATTTACCTCGACCTTTGACGAATAACGAAACAGCTTGAGACCATTGAAGGAAATTGAAGTCATTGAGTTTGTGGTAATTAGAAAATTCATGTGGTTTTCAGGTCCCCCGGTCTGCAGAGGGATTGAGGTAGATTTCAATCCTCTGGTAAATTTAAGAATCGTGTCAGATGGAGGTTCGATGGTGTAGGAATCAACCATGGCTCTGATGGAGCCAAAGGAGAGTTTTGAATGTCGAGACATGGTTATCAACAAACAAGGTATGCAGGGAAGGCTTTCCAGTCGACACTAGGGAGATTCAATTAGGAAGAATGAAGATCCGACTGTAGGAAGGAGTACGACGGTTCTTGGTAGGAGGTTCGACGGTTCTTGGTAGGAGGTTCGACGGCTAGAGACAAGGACCTTGGCTCGGGAAGGCCTGCAAGGAAGAAAACCAACTGTAGGAAGGGTATCCGACTGTAAGAAGGGCGTCCATCTGCTGGATTAGGGAAGGTTCGACTGAGCGTCCAGCTGCAGGAAGGGAGTCTAGTGGCTGGAGAAGGGAAGGATCCGTGGCTATAGAACAACAGGGGAAGATTACGACGACTGGAGAAGGACCTCAGCGGCTAGGGTTAGATCCCTTAGCTCTTTGTAAGCTTTGTGAATTGAGCAAGATAATTTCATTGATATAAAAAGGGATATAAATACATGTTACATGAGTTATAAAGTAAGAAAGACATAACACTCATATTAGTAGGAGTTGATTTATTTCCGAATAACCCCTTGAAGATAAAAGGAAAGGCATAGTAGGAAATACATAAAATTGGAAATAATTTGAAAGTAAATAAATCAATAGTAAGAACTTCTAATAGAGACCTTTTGAACAAGGAAAATGTTGTGCAACTTATCGACACGGAAAAATTTGTTGTTCTTTGGAACAGAATATTGAATTATTTAAGTTTTTGAATTTGAAAGTTCTAACTTTTATGTAGCATGACAATGTACTTTTTAGAGAGATGTTGAGAGCCTGTCTTGGATTGATGATGCAAAATTAGGTTATTATTATTATGGGGATTAAAATTATAGTTGAGAGACTGAGGCTTCTTTTTACAATGTTGTGCCACTGTCGTCTTTAAAGTTTAGTACAACCTAGAATGTCTACTCTAAATGAAATGGAATTAAATATCATGATGGTTGGAAGGAAGTGTGCATATATTGTGGCCTCTCCATCACATGATACTTCCACAAATTTGAATTTCAATATGTGATATTCTTGGAAATCTAACTAACTGAAAAGTGCTGTTAAGGGTCTGTTTTAGGGTAGCTGCAACTTTTTAAAAGCTGATGCGCAACAACTGTGCCAGGAAGCTGCTCACAGAAGCTGCTTCGCGGAAGCTTTGTCTGTTTATTTTGTGCAATTGTGAAACAACTATGTTGTAACTGCTTATGAAAAAAAAGACCTTTCTGCTCCTGTACTATTGTGTTGTATATAACAAAATCAGTTCTTGTTGCACATTTCGTACATGAAAACATATAGCCGGTTTTAAGATTACACAATAAAAAGTAGCACCTCACTAAACAATAACATACTAATCAAAATTAAAAGTAAAACTATTAAAATTACAATTAATACTATCATAATATTGAATTTAAAATGCAGACGATTAATTTCACCTGATAATCTGTCTAACGAAATTCTCCACGTCTGATCACTGTCGTAGTAGTCATAGTTCTCTGATCTATTTCTTGGATACCTACAAAGTTGTCTCCCATAGCTATGCTTCTGTCGCGAAGTAAGCAGAGAACATTGCAGTCCACAGTAGCAGTACAATATACTGGAGGCACCGAAAGACCTTGACCTGATCTTTTCTGAAGATTTAAAATCACAAAACACTGACTCTTTGATGCAACATTACTAAAAAAGAATAAAAGAAATACTCAATTAAAATTAATAAAGTTGTGATATTTCATAGCGCGAAGAATAAACCAACGATTAATCTTTTATTACAAGAAGACAATAGACTTTTAAAAAAATAGTTCTTGGTTGCTTTTAAACTATGTAATATTGAGCTTGTATATGTCACAGAATCATATCACCACAAAAGCTTTCTAAAAAACAACAACAGTTATATGACTAAAGAATGAATGAATCTTGGTTGCATTTAAACCACGTAAAACAATGCTCGGATGTTCCACAAAACCATATCAACAAAAAAGGCCATCCTGGAAAACCCCTTTGACTGAAAAATCAGTGGTTCTTGGTTGCTTTTAAACCATGTAATATCAAGCTCGCATGTGTAACAAAATCATATCACCACAAAGGTCATCAAGAAGAACCATTGAAGTCATTTATGTCATCATAGACCTCAAAATCATAAAACAAAAAAGATATAAAAAAATTATATTAAAGCCACGAATGCCTAAAGGCTATCCATGTGGGAGAAGAATAAAAGTAATTTGCACTGAATCAAAATTCCACAGGAATATCTTTGCATTTACTATCATTACAATAAACAATAGTTACTTTTCCGTGAAAGAGGACAACCCTTCCATACCAACCAAATCGAGCATACACAGAGGCCACAGACGAGAAAGAGCTTCCCAGCCTCCAAAATACATATAGATAAGCAAATTTCAAGTTCATTCAATCCAGAGACCGCAAATTCCAAATCCATTCATTCCAGAGCCTGCAAATTTCAAGTCCATTCATTCTAGGGGCCATAAATCGAAAAATACAAGTCATAAAACACATTGAATCGAAAATCGAGTAGAGCAAAGAGAACAAAAAAAAAAGATATAGGATACCAAAATCCAAAATCCCATCATCATAATAGTAGAACATTGAGTTCATAGAGGAGAGGACTCCTTACGGCAAAGACGCGGGAGAGGAGAGAACCCCTTAAGGCAAAGATGCTAGAGGGGCAAAGATGCGAGATATGTAGAGATGCGAGAGGAGAGGATAGTGCAGAGATGCGAGAGAGCCAGACGAGAGGGTAACAAAGCAATAGAATCACATAAAAATGCGAACTGCTGGGTCAAACCCACAACCTTCATTCAGGAGCGCATTTCGTAAGACGCTGTTGTTATATTTTGCAATTTTGCGTTTTCTCACAGCGCCGCTGCCAGGAAGCTGCTCTAAACGGGCCCTAAGATTTAAATATTTTTGCTTTTTTTTTCATAATTTCGTGCCACCTGCATCACTCGTTTTTTAAGTGGATGACTGGACTAGTATTTTCTATGAGCAAAACACAATGAGATTGATCTTTTGAATACTCTTATTTATAACGGTCTTAGTTTGCTTATAATTTGTACGTAAGCTTTATAATGTATGTAAAATGGCTTCTGGTGTAATTCCGTGTCTCTAGCTGGTCTTATACCTCTTAAAACTCGTATTTTAACCTTAACACTGCCTCACATCTTTTAAGTGAGGTGAATTTGCACTGTTCATGCCAAGTGACATCCCAAGGTAAGAATTTTGTTAACCCTTGATGTGGCAGAAGGCTTTGGTTTTGAACAAAAATAGACATTTTTTTTAATGATGTGATGTCTTCCTCTTTTTTGTCCTTTTTATGACAGTGCATGTCTTGCATATTAGAACAATTAATCTTTTAGATTAGTTCTCTTTTGTTTTACTTTCCATAGCCGGTTGAATCATGATGAATGTTCCATTTGCTTGAATCTTTACGAATTTTATCGTAGCTGTTTCTTGAGTTCAAAACCATGCCAAAATCAAGGTGTTTGATTGTGTCACCTTTTTTTTCCCCCTGTTTTCTCAGTATCAACCTTTGGGGCAGTTCTGGACATGGTAACAGACAGGTACTTTTCTTATGTATTTTATGGTTCATACTGCTGTGATTCGAAGAGATTAGTGAGTTGATTTTGTATCTAATCTTGTATATATTTGTTGTTCGAAGTATATTTTAAAGTCCCTGCAGTGGACAACTTATATGTTTTTTACTTAATCCAGAGTGAGCACGGCTTGTTTATTGGCAATCCTCTCTCAACTTTACAGGTTTTCATTTTCTTTTTGTTATGCATGATTTATCATTATCTTCTTTGTTGCATCTTAATTACTTTTTTATAACTTTTTTATCTTTGCAGACCTGGCTTGATCTTTTTAGCATTGCTTGGATTAGATATTGCAAGCCACTGGCTGCAAATGTATAGGTATATGCTATCATTCTTGACTTCTAGCCTGTATTTTTATATTGGTGTAAATTTTTGGAAAATTTCATGCATTGCGCCGAATTCTTATATATTTACATATCTAGCGCCTAAACTTTAATATTTACATTTAAGCACTTTGTTATGATAAAGCTATGCAAATGATATTTGTGATATTTTTTATTTGATAATGAATATTTGAGTGTTATGCATGTGGATATGAAAGCTTAGTGTTAGATATGTAAATAGATAAGAAATGTTTTGTTTGTGTAAATGCCCATAACTTATTTTATGTAAGTTAATGAAGGCTGCGTATATAATTTCCCTTATTTTCTGTCAAATTTGATGTTAATTTTAATTCACTCCATTTATATTAATTCATATTAGCCTTTATGCCAATAATAGCACGGCATGACTTGATACTGATCCTATTGTGAGATTTTTTTGAATTGTTGGTGTCAAATATGGGCCTTTTTTTTGCCATGTTAGAAGGTGATGCAGTTTTTGGGCACAGTGTATTAAAAAGCTGTTTACTTGTGCAAAGACCTGACCTTAATGTCAAAAACTCAATCTTTGATTTCTAATGCTGAAACTTGATAGTGCATGCATTGTCTTAGGTACAGGGTGGTTTGTTAGAAATATTTAATTCCAAAGTTAGATGAAACATACAAAATATCCATTAGACATGAAAAGAAATTGGGTTTGGTTATATGACCTTTTGGAGACATACTTTTAACTCCAAAAAAAAAGGAAAAAAAATGTGGTGGGGAGTAAGCTTGCTTAGAGATGTCATTTTGCTTGTGGTTACATATCCAACTTTGAAATTTCCCCTTTCATTCATACCTGAAAGTCTATGCTCGTTGGAAATTTAATTCATGTGTATTAATTCCTAGTTTTTGTTTCTTAGTTTTCAAGTGTTAAGAGATATCACCTGTAATGTACGTTCTCATGTGAAAAAGACACAAGTTTAGTATTTTCAATTTTGAATTGTCTATTATTCTCTTTTAAATTTTTTCATGACTACTTTTGCATGTGTGACTATTATGATGCAAGCTGGGTTTTCTTTTGACTCGTAATCTTGAATTAATGCTCTTTCCTTGTGGAATTACAAATTGTAAGACATGTTTGCTGTCTTTATAGTTCTTGCCAAAAATATAAGATCGGAAACTATGATTTTGATTTTGTTTTTTTGGCATTTTCATCTTGCATCTCATCTTAGATTGTATTAGTAATCTTAGACAATTGCTTGCAATCCATTGCCTTTTATTTCATTTCTTGGCTATCTAGTATTAATTGACAGGATTTTGCAAGGTGGGATTTTTTATCCCTTTGGTGTTTGTGGGAGTACCTCTACCTTGGAGATCTCCAATTAGTTTCCCTTTAAGCTATCTTGATCTCTGCTTGGTCCCTTTTGATTGATCATGCATTTTCGTTCTTTATTCCATCAGATTTCTAGTTAAATCTTGACTAGACTCATGGTAAAAGCTCCAATTAATCATTGCATATATTTATATAAAATATCTTTTCTATTCAAAATTTAACCTTTTTGGTGTTGGAATTCCTGAAATTTTCCAATATATTTCTTATTCAGTACTTTCTTGAGTGGCAAGAGCAGCCACAAAGATGTCAAGGACAAAAGTAGTTGGCTTTTAAGGGCATATTATCAGCATCGTTATTTCATGGCGTTCTGCTGTGTTGGATCTGAGGTAAAGGACTTTCCAAACATTCTTCTTGTTTGGACATTTATATAGCTCTATGTTCAGGTAATTGATACGAATGCCCGGCTTCAGGTTCTTTACATCATTCTTTTTTTAATTCATCAAAAGCACGATGAAAGTTTAATCTCTGTAAGCATTTTGGCTTGTGCCATTGTTATTTGTTTCCTTTCTTTATTTGAGTTGAGGTAAAATCCTTAATCTTTCTGATATTTTACTTGGTCCAATATTAACAGGTCTGTGTGAATGCTACAAAAAATAGCTTAACCCTTTCAGTACTATTCACTTTAGCATTTATTGGATGGGGAATTAAACAAATTGTGAATATCATTCAGGTATATTCTTCTTCTTCTGTATTTCGCTTTGTATTTCAGGACTTTAGTACGAGAAAAATGATTGAGCTGGTTAGAGAGAAGAATTATATCTTCTTGTTAATCAGAATTAGTTGCCATGCTCCTTAACTACCACCCACAATTTTGACAAATTCTTGCGGATTTTCATTCCAAGACTTGTGAATTTGCGAAACATAATCATGTTATTTTTCTTTAATGCATTTTTAGATCCTTTACTCATTTTTATTTTAATTCAATGTGTTATTTGATGAATTCTAATATTTCTATTTGCTATGACTGGCGTGGGGCTTATTGGCTTAACCGGACGGTTCGGTATTTGGGAGCCTCTCGGGGAGCTGGTCCAACGTGGAGGCTGGACTGACTGGCTAGCTATTGGGCAGAAACTACCGTCTCTTTCCCTCTTATCTACCTATCGTAAATATGTTGCTTGCTGAGTTAAGGTTTAGTCTTGATTTTTTAATTTCAAATTTCTGCCTCCAGGCGTTTTCTCTTGTTAGGGCTGTATCCGAGGACAGTTGGTGCATTGATTATATTCTGCTCTGAGATGATGATGACCTCTACCTAATTCTCCCACACAATCCTGCGCCTGGCCACTGTCCTACTATAGGCGCCTGCCTCTCTTGCTTTTAGTAGCCGACCTTCAACCATCCTCCTTCCTTCATGTTCCAAGACTCGTAAATTTGCGAAACATAATCATGCTATTTTTTTTTAATGCAGTTTTAGATCCTTTACTCATTTTTATTTTAATTCATCGTGTTATTTGTGCCCTTTTAAAATTTCTAATATTTCTATTTCCATGACTGATGTGGGGCTTATTGGCTGAATCAAACGATTCAGTACTGGGGAGCTTGTCCAGCAGGGAGGCTGGACCGACTGGCTAGCTTTTGGGCAGAAACTACCATTTCTTTCTCTCCTGTCTATCTATTATAAATATGTTGCTTGCCGAGTTAGTGTTTAGTCTTTGATTTTTTATTTCAAATTTCTGCTTTCAGACATTTTCTCTTTTTAGGGCTGTATCCGATGAGAGGTGATGCATCGACTGTATCCTGCTCCGAGGTGGTGATGACCTCTACCTAATTCCTCGACGCAATCCTGCGCCTGCCACTGTTCTGCAATAGGCACCTGTCCTTCCTGCTTTTAGTCTGTCGACCTTCAACCATCCTCGTTCCTTCATGTCTCCCTCCTGCTTTTTGCTTACTTCCTGCCTCCTTGTGTCCAACCATCAACCCCAGATCATCTCCCTGCCTCCTTGTTTCCAGCCTCCAACCACCCTGCCACCTTCTTCCACATGCCTTCATTTATCGACCATCTAAGCTCCTCATCCTGCCGTCCCTGTTTCTTTACCCATCCACCACCATCTCTTCCCTACTCAATTGCCAACCACCAAGCCTCATCACCACTTTCCGTGGATGTTCCTACCCGCCCTAGTTGGATATTGATGTTTTGTTGTGTTTTCTTTTTCATTTGCAACTCTTGTTACTTTTTGCTTAGTAATATTTGCTTATGTTATTGTGTTTTGGGTTAATTCCGGTATCATTTGATATTAGAGCTAGCCTAAACCTAGTCCTATCCTAGGGTTTCCTAACATTTGCGTCACCCCCCTCCCAATCCCGCAATTTTTTTCCCCATCTTCAACCACCCATGCCGATCCCAAACTCTAATCATGCCACCACGAAGATACATGCTTGAACCTACTCGGGACGAAACACATTTAGAGATCCGTCGGCTTCAACAGAGGCTCATGGTGATTGATGATTGAACCTAGGGTGAGGTTACCCTCGAGTGCGATTTGGAGAAGTGAAGGGGAGATAGTGATGAAGATTTGAAATCCGTTTTACAGGGAAGACGTTAGTGATGAGGAATACGTATCCCACCACTTCAGGATTCAATATCTGGGGAGACCGAGAGAGGAGCGCACATATGGAAAATAGATGGATTTCGACATTAAGGCAAATCTAAATGAATGGAGGTATGGATCTAAATGAATTTATCAATTGACTGCAATCTATTGAGCGAATCTTCGAGTATAAGGAAGTGTCAGAGGATAAATGAGTGAAATTAGCACTATGAGACTGAAGAAGAGCACATACTTGTGTAAAAACTTGCAGAGGCAGAGTAAGAGAGAATACAACAATAAGATTACCAAAAGAAATCTTCCACACGTCCCCTGGCCTCGTCCGAATCTGGCGATATTGCATAAGTCGATCTTGAAAAAGAGGATGGCTTCGTGCAACTAAACCAAGAGATCGTCCATATAACTCATTCTGTGCAGGGATATGACTCGCACTCGTGAGAGAACATTTCTTTTGGTTGTGACTGGCGAGAGACGTGGAGCGATAGTCAGGCAATATCGGGTTTGTCATATGGTAAAAATCAGGAGACAAAATACATCACTATACACCCCATTACTAGTACCAGAGACATTGTGGGTGGATGCTAGCTTGAATTTTATAGTGAGTCTTCTAAGGATGGCGAAATAAGGATTCAGGCATGGTCGCGGTAGATCAATTCTTGAAGATGATACATTTTGTACCCTGCCCCTAGACACTGGATGCATTGCATGTTGCTGACTGATACTTCAGGGAGATTGTGAGGCTGCACGAATACCCATGACCATCACTTCAGATAAGGATGTCATGTTCCCGAGTCATTTTTGGAAGACTGTGGGGGAAAATTGCCACTAAGCTTCACTTCAGTTCTGCAGCGTATTCGACGGAGGTAGTGAATAGGAGTCTTGGAATCTTACTGAGATGCTTTGTTGGGAATAATATTAAGCAGTGGGATTGATTCTAGCTCATGCCAAGTTTGATTATAACTGATCCGTGAGTCGAACTACGATAGGTCACACCCCATTTGTGATCATGTACAGGCGCAACCCACTCCACTCGACATGGTACTACTGCTGACATCAGAGATTAGTGAGAGGATGCAGAGGAACGAGTGCACAAGATTCATAAGCTTCACGAGGAGATTGGAAAGGAGATCATTAAGCAGAAACACAATTACCAGATACTGGCGAACAGGTCAAGGAAGGACCTTTAATGAAGGAAACCTAGTGTGAATTCGATTGAAAAAAGAGAGATTCCCTAGTAGGAGCATTTGGAAGAATCAAACCCAGAGCAGATAGACCTTTCAAAATACTTCGAAAGTGGAATGATAATGCCTGTAAGATCAACCTTCCATGGGATGTCAATGTTTCTGTCATGTTCAAATTCGTGAACCTGAAACCGTACTCCAGAAGCTTTGACGAATGAAGTTGAAGCTCCTCCAACCTCAGGAGATTGATTCAGGTCTTATTGGCTGAGTCAATTGGTTCAACAATGGGCAGCCGGTCCAACATGTAGGATAGATCGGCTGACCAGCTATTAGGCGGAAACTACCGCCCCTTAACCCACTTTCCCTCCTATCTACCTATTATAAATATGTTACTTCTTGATTTAGAGTTTAGTCTTAGTTTTTTGATTTGATAATTTTGTCTCTATACGTTTTCCCTTGCTAGGGCAATATACGAGGATAGGTGGTGCTTCTGCTGTATTTCGTTCCAAGGTGGTGACAACCTCTACTTAATTCCCTCACACAATCTTGTGCATGACCGCTGTTCTACAGTCGACTCCTGCCCTTCTTGCTTGCGATCGATGGCCTTCCGCCATCCTCCTTGTTCCCAACAACCGACCAACCTGCTAAATCTCTGCCTCTCTTTGTCTGATCGCTGACCCCCATACCATCTCCTTGCATTCTTATTCCCCTCCTCCAACCACCCTGCCTGCCTTTATCCATTGACCATCCTGACCCTCCTCTTCTCCCTATTTATAGCCGCTAGCTTCCCCGCCTTTCCCTTCTCTATCCATCTACCACCATCTCTTCCCTACTTAATCTCTAACAACCAAGACTCGTCAGTGTTGTCCTCGGATGTTTCCACTCCTCCCTAGTCAAATATTGATGTTTTGTTGTGATTTTATTTCTGTTTGAGTTTTGGTTGTAACCCTAGTTTCTTTTTGCTTAATAATATTTACTTTTGTTTGTGTTTTGGGTTAATTTAGGAATCAATGAGATTTGTTACTTTCATTTATTGGTGTCAAATTTGGTTCGCGGGTCAAGTTCGCATTCAACTTGAAATTGAACCAATTCAAAATTACTTAACCTGAATATTTAAGCCGGTCATAAAATCTAACCCAGACCTAACCCCATTTCAATTCGCTAATCCGAACTCGAACTTATTTAAGATAAGACATAATATCTAATCAAGTCAAAGCTAGGTCAATTTTGAGTTAACCTCGAGTCGATTTCGAGTTGGTGGATTGATTTTAGTTTGGCGGATCGACTTCATGTTGGCTGGTCGATTTCAGGTTAGTGAGATAGTTTCAGTTCAAATTCGGTTTGCAGCTAACTCAAACTAAAAAATTGAACAGGTTAGAGTTCTTAACCCGAACCCGATCCGAATACATTTCATGGATAACTGCATTCAAATGACTTGATTTTACTTATCAATAAAAATTTCAATGTCAACATCTTTTCAAATAATGCTCTTATTTTTTAAATCAATTCAATTAAATTATCTAAATATTTCAAATAATGCTCTTATTTGTTTTAATAATATATTATTATCCTTCTTTCATGAAGAGGATATAATTCATCAATTCTCATATTCTGACTCTCCCTAACAAAATGTGGTACCATAAAAGAAAACTCATCACCTTTCGGAGGTCACCATGGCTATTCGTCTTTAGAAACACTTACAAAAAATGATATTGAGAAGCTATATAACTGTTTCCTAGTTGACCAATCTAATATTCTCAAAGGAAATTGACTCAAAAAATTTCTTAATTGTTTTTCAAATTTTTTTTTGTTATACCATCTTTTCCCGATGACTCCATGAAAGACTTTTGGTGCATTACTTGTAATTGTTCGAACTCACATTTCAAGATATTGACCATTTAAGTTGTTGGCCTCACGATTTAGTCTCATTATTGTAATTTTCCTAG